GATTTGTTAAACAGGACTCACCCTTCATAAACCCATGCTGACTGGGCCTGATCACCTGGTTGTCCTGCATGTGTTGCTTAATGGAACTCAGGATAATCTGCTCCATCAACTTCCCTGGGACCGAAGTCAAACTGACAGGCCTATAATTTCCTGGATCATCCTTCTTTCCCTTCTTACAGATGGGTGTTATATTTGCTGTCTTCCAATCAGCTGGGACCTCTCCAGTCAGCCAGGACTGCTGATAAATAAAGGAGAGTGGCCTGGTGAGCACCCCTGCCAGCTATTTCAGGACTCTAGGATGAATCCCATCTGGCCCCATAGATTTGTGGACGTCGACATGGGGGAGTAGGTCCCTGACCATCTCCTTGTGAATTGTGGGGGGAATCTTTTGCTCCTGGTCCCATTCTCTTGGCTTGGGGGGCTGGCTTCCCTCAGTACAGGTGTTACTTTTGCTAAAGACAGGCAAAGAAGGCATCAAGCACCTCAGCCTTATCCTCATCTTTCACTATTATATTTCCTCCTGGGTCTAGGAGGGGATGGAGGCTCTCTCTGTTTTTTCTTTTGTTATTAATGTATTTATAAAAGCTTTTCTTACAATCTTTTACTTTCAATTAATTTCTAACTGGGCCTTGGACCTTCTAATAAGCTCCCTACATAACCTAACAATATCCTTATATTCACTATGAGTGGCCCGCTCTCCTTTCCAGAGGCCATAAACTCTCTTTTTTTCCCTGATCTTTGCCAATATGTCCCTATTCAGCCCGGCTGGTCTTCTATACTGCTGGCTTGTCTTAAGGCACATAGGGATGGCCTGCTCCTGTGCCTTCAAGATTTCCTCCCTAAGTAATGTCCAGCCTTCCTGGACTCCTGTACCCTTCAAAACTGATTCCCAAGGGATTTTACGAAGTAACCTCCCAAACAAATCAAAGTCTGACCTTCGGAAGTCCCAAGTGGCAGTTTTGCTCTCTCTTGTAACCATGATGACCAGCATACACACACTTTGAGGTCCAGTAGTAAAGCAAATGTCCACACATAACTGAGTGCCAGCTAACATATAAGCATGTCTTTCATTGACTCCTTCGCTTTAGCCCCCTGCCTGTCTGAACTACAAATGCCAGGTAAGAGGTACAGTTCCTTACTGTTACTTTACACCCTAAAGACATGAAAAACATGAGTCGTAATAAAACTACAATAAAACTACAATAAAACTACAGACTCAGAAACAAGCAACCCAAAAGGAAACGCAGCACTGTGAAACACTCTTCAGAATCTCTCAGATTATTGCTCTATAAATATATCTGAATCTTGTTGGCAAGATCCCTTACAAGAAAGAGAGCTGAGTTCTGCCCTCTTACCTTTGATGTCCCTGTGGATCTTCCTCTCAGAGTGTAGATAATCCAAACCCTTTAGGATTTCTCTCAGGATTGTGGCTATGTAAGTCTCTTCCAGGGGTCCTGGCTTCAGCTGACAAAGGGCAGAAAGATGACTTAAAGGAGGGTGACTGATGCCTTGGATTTTCCAGCCTCTTAGTTTGAAAACTTGGCCAAGTAGGAAGCGCCTACTGCACACCTGGTGCATATTGTGCAGGCAGAATGCTGGACTTTGCACCTGACAACCTTAAACGGAAAATCTTTGGGGGGGGTTCTGTTTGTCTGTTAACAGCTTCCCAGATAAACAGCAGGATGCTCATCTCTCATTTTGGCCTGGAAATACACTGGTGAACAGAACATCTTAACTTTCTCCTGTTCAAGTCTTCCTGCTAGCATGCAAGAACTGAATTTCAGTCCCTACAACAGCCCAGAGACAACATCTACCCTCTAGCTATGCAGTATTGTATCAAAGCTCTTCTTTCCATTAGTTCTCTTCTAAACAAGTTCTGCCTTACCAGTTAAATAATTGAGGTTCTGACACTAAGGCAGCTTTGCTACTGACAGCCCCAATCACTACACCCTTCCTCCAAGTCATGGCAGGCTCAGTAGTTTTCACTGCATGACTTGGAGAAACAGGCTTTATTGTCCTAAGGAGAAAAGCAAAATCCTGTGACAGAATATAGCACAACAGAACTTTGCCCATGTGTTTATTCTGCATTTGTATTCCCTTAAAATCTGGGTTAACCTGTTAAACCTCACTTGTATTATCAAACACCTGGGAATCCTGATTAAAGACCAGGTCTCTGCTGAGTTTGATGCACTCAAGCACTGAACAATACCATGAAGTCCTCTTAGGTGAAGTATGAATTTGCACTGCTCAAAACTGGCTGCTGTTACACTTCATTTCACTGGCTCTTCCCATTGTAAAGCAGCAGAGCACATTAGAGAACAGTGCTTTGAGCTGAGCTCTGTGCAAACATTTCCTATGTCCTGGGATATGCATAACCAGCATGTCTGTTGTGCACTGCCTACCCTTCAGGCACAGGGCTATCAAAAAGATGGTATGTGGCAAGTGAGTGTCTGGCTTATGGACATTTCTTAAACTAACACTCCAGCCAATGTTTTTTGTGCCACGCACTTACCAAATCCAGGGCTGAACCTCCTCCTAAGTACTCCATGATTATCCACAGCTTAGTGCCCTGCAAGCCAGAGCACAAATTGAAGGTAAAGACATTAATAAAAGCAGGCAGAAAAGTGAAATGCCCAAGAGGCACCAAGACATGAGTAGATCAGTACACAATCCAAGACATGCTGCATACTGCAGCTCTTGGAGGCTGACACGGCGTTATAGTGGTGGACCTGGCCCCAGTACATTTCTTTCTCTCAGTCTGCAGTTTTATCTGAGCAAGCTTAGTGCCCCCACTGACACCAGATTACACAGCCCACAGAGATAAGTGTATTCTCAGGTTGGCGCCGATTAGTACCACTTCAACAAATCTAGCACATCTCCTTCTTGACAATGACAGGGAAGCTTTGCAGCCTTTGATTTCATTAACAGACCGCCAGCCTGAAGTGTACAATAAGCAAGACACTTCTTATTCCTCAGAGAAGAGATTTCCAGACTGAGGTTCACAGGGTCCTGGTACAAGATAAGCAGTAGATCCATGAAACTACAACTTGTTTGGTGTTTTCAGTAGAAGGCTGACAAAGGGTAGATGCATTATGGCCTTTGAAAAATTTGTAAGGAATAATCAGGATCCAATGAGCTTGGGAACCGTTTGCCACAGACCCAGTGTTACAATAACCTTCAGCAGTTGGCATGCAGAGGCCACTCCCGGTCATCACTCCTAGTAGCTTCCACTGGGGATTCCTAAACCTGTTCTCAATGGAAGAGGTATCAGCACTCCAGTTTCTGTTCTTTCAATAATTTAGGATGAAATTATGATCACAAGATCATAAAGTACAGTTTCAAACTCCCCTTCTTTCCAGAGACATAAAGGCCCCAGTGGTACTGCCCTAAAACTGTGGTACTTCGGAAAAGTATTCCACAAACTTCCTTTCAAGAATAGTCAAACTGAGAAGAGATGAGCCTCTTCAATGAATAATTTTCTCTCCAGTGAAGTGTCCTGCTCTTGGGATGACACTGTAGTGGGCACTTCATTTCCATGTGCTTTGCTGTGAGCAGAGCCAGTGCTGTTCCTGCTGCTATGCTGATACTCACAGACTGTACACCTTTCAGCCCTGTATGCCATCATCAGCTGCAGCACTCATAGAGAGGCACAGCCCACTGCCAAACTGCTGGCAAGAGAATTGCCATGGTTTTGTCCTACCTTCAAGTAGGAGCCATAGTAGCGGGTGATGTAGGGACTATCACACTGGCTGAGCACCGTAATCTCCTTCTGAATGTCCTCAATTTCATCCTCAGCCTCCTCCAGATCAATGATCTTGATAGCAACCACCTCCTTGCTGCGGTTGTCAATCCCTTTATACACTTCACCAAATGATCCTTTGCCAATCCGCTCCAGCTTGGTGAACAGCTCCTCAGGATCCACCCTGGAGTGCTAAAGTAGAGATAGGAAAAAATCTGTGAAGTCCCACAGCAGCCTGCAGAGCACCATGTATACCTATACAGCTCATTTCCCCAGCCATGCATCTACTGCCCTAATTAATCTGAAACTCACATATCCTAAACGGTCTCCATATGCTGAGAAATAACACAGAATATATCCAAGATGGAGAAGACACCTTTTACACAGGCTTTCCACCACTGCAGACCATCGTGGGGAAGGAAGGTGAGAGAAGTCCAGAAGGAGAATGGTAGTAAGTATTTCTAAAGAAAGTATCAGCTCCTTTGGGACAGGACTGCTCAACTGCAGGCATTAAACTGATGCCAAAGCAGCTCCATGAGCAAGTGCTTGTTTGCGCTTGAATCAGAAGACAGTCAAGGTGTACTAAACCCAACATTCTTTTGGAAATCTGTATGAGAAGATAGGCACAAGCATCAAGCAACTGGAAGTTCACAAGACTGCTTCCCTAGTCTGCTTTCTTGCATTCGAAGATTGGAATCATTTGGAAGATTTGCGTCCTTCCCTACTTGTTTGTAGGGTAAAATACCCCAGTAATATAAATACCAGTTTTACATTAGCTGTCTTCTCTGCTGCAGCCTGATTTCCAGGCAGCACCCAGCTGAGCTGTCTTCAGATGATTGCATAGGGAGCCTCATGTCTTCTGGAAGGTCAGCAGCAAGAAGGCCAGACATCTGCCTGTCCCAGAGGAAACAGGAGAGATGAATGGACACTCCATCTGCAGACCTGTTTTTCTGGAACAGCTTCTCCTCTGACTGGCACACCCAGATACAAAAGCAAACAGTATTTCCCTCATTAGATAAGCACATCAACTGGGAAGCTACTAACATGATCATCAGAGAAATACTGACTCCTTAATAGCAGCTTCAAAGTTAAGTCTTTACTAAGATGAGCACAGATGAGAAAGGGAAAAAAGCAGAATCACTTGCTGATGCTATTTCATTCTGTCCAGCTGCAGATCAGGAGATCCTACTCTGCTTTATTCTACTCAAAGGCTCTTTGTGATTAGTTTTTCTCCCTTTTTAAATAAATAAGTCTAATCTAAAAAATAAATAAATATGGAAAATATGGCCTTACCTACAGGAAGTGGCCAAGCCACTACAGCGCTTTTTCCACATCCAGAACTTCAGTCTCACCTCCAACATGTCACCCAGAGGGCCTACTCCCTTGCAAGGGACTTGAGCTGGCAGATTTCATCTGAGAACAGGGCAGCTGCATTTCGCCACATAACCCTAGGTTCTAGCAGCAGTCCATCACTGACCAGCCCTAGCTGCTGCTTAATGATTAAGCCAGTCAATCATTACAGGTCATTTGCCTTCTGTGCCCAGTGTGTTGCTATGTGGAGTAAGCCAGGCCCAGAGTAGGCTCTACAGTCATTTCACTCAAAATACAGAAGGATAACCAAATATGCTTGTGCATCCATGGCAACACCCAAACAGGCTGTACTTTGAACAAATGTACTGGAAACAGACTGGAGGGGATATGCAGAGATTAAAGGAACTGGAGATACATAGCAGGGCCTGAAGAGAGGGAGGTGGGGGAAAGGAAGAGGATTTGAGCTTGAGAAATGCCAGATGACAACATGAGAATGACAACTGCAGCACAGGGAGAACAGCGGCTTATCCAGGCTCACAAGAGGCCAGGAGCAGTTTCCACCCCTTGACCAACTTAAAGGATAGAGCATCAAGGTTGCCCAGACATTACCTTGCAGGCATACATACTGCACCATAGAAATGCCACACACTACATCAGCCACTCCCACACATCAGGGAGAAAGGACAGAGAGAGACAATCATCTCCTAGAAGCACCTGAATCCATTGGTAAAGGAAATACTATCCACATGAATCCTGCAGGGAAACAACTCTGCAAGAAAACCTTCCTCCTCTCCCACGTAAGTAATTTTTCCATGAGAAAAGAAATTGTAAGGTGTAAGTTACTGCTCATCTCCTCAGCTTGACGTGGCACATCAAAGAATCAGAACAGATTCTTCAAGAACAGGACATCAAACATAAGAACACTAGCTACTGCAGGCCGCTTTTGGGACAACAACCACTTTATGTACTGGGTTTTGTAATCATGGATAGCTTCAGAAACAAGCTTCCATACTTCAATGTTGGTTTACGCTGTTTTCTGTGGAGTAAAGCAGTTCAAGTAGGGGCAGCAAAGGAAATAAACCCTCCTCACAAGCACATGGAAACTTTGCCCAAGGGACTCAGGAAAATGCTACAGCTCTGATGGGCAGAAGAGACAGGCCCACATTACGTTGAACAGGTTTGTAGGTACTGGATTTACTTTCCAGTACCTGTCACTTCAAAACTGATCCAGAAATGCTTCAGAGTTCTCAGGCGCCAGGGCAAGAGTATGACTCTATGGAGGGCCTAAGGATATGCACTCTTGACAGAGTTGCCAAAATCACACAAGTCATACAAAGCAACAGCCAGAACCTAGTGAGCAAGTATGGTTCAAAGCGGTAGAGAGTCACTCCAGACTGAGTTACAGTCTCCTGGATGCCTGCTGCAGGACCAGAGTCTGCCAATGAATTTCTTCACTTTCTGTAAACAGGGAGGAGAAAACAGGCCTACGCCAAATCACACAGGCCAGTGCCTGCCCAGCAGAACACCTTGTGAACTACCATGGTGGACACCATCAAAGACATTGCCCAGTGGCATTTTTGTGGAAGCAATCCTGAATGCCCATGATAGACTAAGGCAGATAAAATTATGCTAGTCTGTAGGTCATCTACTCAAAAGCTCTTGTCCATTAAAAAAAGTTCCTGTTTGAGACGCCACAGGGTAAACTCACTGCTGATGGGCAAACATTCAGATACATACAAACCTTGTATGGCACAGAAGCTTTGGCACTCAGCAGAGAGCAGAACAAATGCAGTTTATGCCAGGAACAGAGAGTGCAAGCGCACTGCTCCACGAGAAGAGAAGCACGCTGCCACACTTGAAGCTCAAGCCAGTGGTAGGCAGGGGAGGAGAAGAACAGCTTTTGTGTAGCCTGATTCTCCCCTACCCCAACAAATTTGCATCTGCAGAGCATCGCAACAAGGGGTATAACAAGCACGATCAATTTTGTAAATACAAATTGATGTCAGTGCCAGTTGTCTTGTCAGAGAATCACCTTGGCTGCAAATCCATGTTCTGGAACTGCACAGCTATAAACACAACTGAGAGACTTTATTAGTAGGAAGTAAAAGAACACAGATTCAATGTTTACACCCACACAAATGAGCACAGATAACGCGAAGAAGTGTATTAGCATCTGTCAACTTTGCAACTGCTTACCAGCTTGCAATCTTGTTCTACTACAACACACAAAGCCTTTAAGGGATAGACACCTCATTGTTAACTTTTTAGTTGAATGAGCGTCAACTACAAGGCATGGTTCTAGAGTAAAAAGCCTCATGTTGTTTCTCTGCATTCAGAGCAGTCAGACAGTAGTGATAGCTCCGTCAGGCATGAACTCACTTTGTGGGGAAAGCACACAAAGCACTATCTTGGTTGGACGTGCAGAAAGGGGAGGGGACAATTATGAGAGGGATGAGGACAATCTGCTAGTAATGTACTCTGTTTCTGTCCTCTAGGATCTAATCTCACAGCACAGGTAAGAAGAATGTTCTGTCATGACAGGTGTGGGGTGCTTGCCATCACGACTGATGATGCCATGTTTTAAAACAAAGCAACTCACTGCAGACTTCAGGAATTAAGAATTACAGTGTGTTATACAGTAATAGCAGCTGCTTCATGGGGAAAGAATGGGTTTGGTAGCTCTGCTACCTCCAGCTGCAAAGATGTGATATCCACAGCCTCTGAGGAGACTAGAGAAGGGTAAATAGCTACTTTGATAATTTCAAAGCTACTATTGGGAACGATAAACTGCATATTGGGAACAGAAGCAAATACCCTTTGAACTAGCTCAAGGTCTTCTCTTTGGGCTGTGTCCAGCTGGATCTCATTCTCAAGAGTTA